TCACATAAGTGAGATCATGCAGTATTTTTCTTTCTGTGTCTGGCTTACTTCTCTTAGCATAACGTCCATAAGTGGCGGGATCTCCTTTATCTCAGAGGCCGTATTTTGGTTTTTTAATGGGCGCACGTGTCATGTGACTACACATACATGCATACACCCACATACGGGTGTGCTCCTCGCTCTGTATCTCTGCACACACCTGAATACTTATCCATTTGTCCATGGATGAACACCACGTCGGTGCCACCTCACAGATACCTGCAGGCCCATGTTCACTGTAGCACCATGCTCTAATTTTCTGCTTACTCTCCACGTTACCCAGTAGTTTTTTAGAGGTTATACAGTTGCCTGCAGAGGCTGTAAGCCAGTGAACTCTAGGAGCAGCCCATTCCTTTTTTCCTTAGTGTGCTCTAGAGGGAGGTTTCCCAAGATCCTTCTTCATTCCTTCTCGTCTTCCTTCCATCCTTCTCTTCCTCTGCTTCGACAAAGGTGTTTCCTCCAGTCTCGAATTAAGGTTCTGGTTCCGCACTTAGGTCTCTTGCAGTGCTACTAACTTTCTCAGGAACCCACTTCATTGATGCAACCTCCGAGGGCCCAGCCTGTAACCTTTAGTGTGCATCAGCCCCTTCTCTAGCTCACCTGCTTGCTTACTGCATTCAGTGAAGCCGGTTTAGAATCACGGGATGTCAGGACATTTATATTGTTTCTTCCAACTTATTTACTGTCGGCCAAAACTCAAAGATAACAGTGATGTCAGTCGTTATTTACCGACCTGCTGATATTACTTAACTTTGATGACCATTCCAAAAGAACTACAGGTTGCACATTCCTAACTTGAAAATCCCCCCAAAAAGTCAAAATGCTCCAAAATCTGAAATTTCAGTGTGGACTTTTGGATTAGAGATACTTGACCACTAAAGCAAATATTCCAGAATCTGGAAAAAAAAAATGGAAATCTGAGGTACTCGTGATCTCAGCATTTCAGATAATGGATTCTCAGCCTGCACCCATGGCTTAAGAGTAAGGGCTCCTCTCCTTCCTGGTGTAGCATGGACTGCCACTGCCACACAGCGTTACTTAGTCCACAATGGCTGCCAAGTGTTCTGCGAGCAAGCACGAGGAATGAAGTGGCAAACGCCTGTACCCGGGCAGCAGTTACATTTAAAGACCATTTAACTGGCACATTTCTTAGTGATGTGCTAGGAAGGTAACACCCAGGAGATGGGAGAGCAATGGCAGGAGACAAGGAGGAACTCCGGTCGTGTGACATGGTGAAGTGTGACCTGCGAGCAGAGACCCAAATGACGACAAGGAGCCAGAGCCTAGCAGAGGAAATGGCAAGTGCTAAGGCAGCTCCTGGAATGGTCGGCAGAGAGGACGCGAGGAGGCTGGAGAGGCGGGCATGGGGCAGAGCATGGTGGACCAGGGACTCACATCACGGATGTTACGTGAGATACCGAACTTCAAATATGAAAAGGCTTACTTTCGAAAGACAGCTGCCAGAATAGAATAATGAAGGGTGACATAATTATTCAATCAAAACACTTTGCACAGATAAAATCTAAAGGCAAAGTCCAATTTGTATTTATGTGTGTGTATTGTCACTAATGTTAAAAAGGAAATAAAATCCACTAATTTACTCAATAAAATACTTTCTATGAAAATACCAGAAGTCATTATTATTCCAGAAAAGTTCCCCGTTTTAATAGAAGCATGCATTCACTCCCCGCCCTCAATGGCATAAGACAGTATTTTATGAAGTTATTAAAAAATACTACCTTTGCCGGGCGCGGTGGTGCACACCTGTAATCCCAGCACTCGGGAGGCTGAGGCAGGAGGATCGCTGTGAGTTCGAGACCAGCCTGGGCTAGTAGTGAGTTCCAGGTCAGTCTCAACTACATGGTGAGACCCTGGCTCAAAAAACCATACACACACACACACACACACACACACACACACACACACAATACAACCTGTCAAGCACTATTTCTTGCATGTGCAACCAAAACCACTGAGGTTATCTATGCAAGAAAGCCCTGGTGTCTATTATGGAAAGCTTTTAACAGACCTTGCCTTGACAATGTATTCCTCAGCCTTCCCCCAAACCCCAGTTCCATACAATATTGTTACTGAGTTTTGTGACTGCACAGTTGTGTGAGGTGTTACTTGGAGAATAAGCATGAAGAGTTCAAATAAATACAAATGATGCTTTTACTGCCTTTTCTCCAAAGATTATGCATTGGAATACAAGCTATAAACTGGGGATTTAGCTTGCAAGCAAGGACCCAAATTCAATCCCCAGTACAAAAAAACAAAAAAACAAAAAAAACCACCAACCAAAAAACAAGCTATAACATAAATTGTGTTATGCGTATATACATAATGTACACATATCCTACAGTTGTTTACATCTCAGTAGCTTTTACAAGTACATACGGCAAATGGTCCTATTCCTTTATTCAGGCTTAAAACTAGTGTTTGCCTTGCAATTCTGATGGTAGCTCATAATCTCACAATGCTGAAAAACCATACAATATGACAAAAATGTTCTGATGGTCCTGTTCTCCCAACCCTTGGAGAAACATGATTAAAGATTCAAGATAAGCTTACTGTGTAAAAAGTAAACACAGTTGGATAATCATCATGCTAACCTTGTTCACGACTCACTATTTTGAGCTTTGGCAATCTGATCTAAGATCACTTTAAGAATCTTCCCCCTTTAGCAACTTTTTTTTTTTTTTAAAGAATTAATTGTAGGGGTGGAGGAACCAATGTTTCTTACATGCTGGGGTGGAGTTACAAAATAAGGAGTGCATTAGTCTGTTTTCCATCTACTGTAATGAAATACTTGAGGTTAAGTACTTTATATAAAATTTTAAGTTTATTTACCTCACAGTTCTGGGGCCCAAGAGCATGGTGTAGGCATCATCTCGGAAGAATGCTGGCTCTCGATGAAGGCCTCACGGCAGATGGTGCTGTAATGGCCACAGCATATGGAACAGGGAGAGATCCTATCACAAGGCGGAAGCGACCGGGGCCAAGGAGGACCACACTATTCCCTTCTGAGGGCACGCATCTAGTGGACCTAAGAGGCTCCCGCGAGGCTCTGCCTTCTAAAGGTCTCACCGCATTTTTCATATCACCAAATTGGGGACAAATCAAAACCACAGGATGGAGTGAGGATGAATGGATTTACCACTGTGGAGAGAGCTGTGCTTTGTGAGCCACTGTGGGTCAGTTGTTTCTCATCTCCAGTGAAAACTCTCTGGAACAACTTGCTTCTCTTCAGACTGGTCACCCTGGACCAGCTAGAGTCAGGGCAGGGGTTTCTGGGTCTTGCCTAGGCTTTGTGCAACCTAGGATGAAATCCCAGGGCTTCTAGTCAACACGGAGCGTTCTCCCAAGCGAAGTGGTCACCGATGCAGAACACTGCTGTGCCGCAGCTGGGCTGGGACCAAACTTTTAGCTCTGAAAAGCAGTTCCAAGAAAGACGTGCTAGTGTTCAGAAAAGGGGCTGGAGACCGCCCGCACGGAAACTTGCATTCTCACTGAATAGAGTGACCTTGGCCACAAGCCCCCACCTCTCTGAGCCAAAGCACTCGAGACACACAAAACACTCAAAACCATAGCAAGGGTACTCATGGCCTCTTTTATTGTTTTACACTTAAGTTTGATATTAAGGCACGGGTGTTTGATATAGTTTTCATTTTTAAACAGAAACTTAAGTAAATGCACTAATAATGATCTATTTTGTGAATGAGACATTAACCTATTTCCTGGTCCTCAGAAACATTTTCTGCCTTTATTCTGAATCTCTCACTGTTGTGGAAAACAGCTATTTTGTTATTTTAAAAATTGTGGGAATTCCCAGAATCCTTTTTTTTTTAAACGTATGAAACTGCATAACCTTTAATCTAATTTGGTATCAAAAGCAATTTTCTAATAAAACCCTTTAACTATTTTTCCACAAAAATCATTTTGAAAATGAGCACTGTAAACATATCACAAGATATTTAGAATCCAACCCTTTGATGACAACCAACGTAAACATTTTGTAACAACATACTTAGCCCTGTTTATTGGGGGTATCTTCTCAGAAGGCCATTAGTGAATGAAGACCTGAATAAATTTTTCTGAGCAGCTGTCCTTTTTACCATTAACAGGAGTCTATCCAAACCTAAGAGTTTATATTTAATTATCTTGACAGAATTTTAACTTATAAAACCAAATTATAGAAATTAACGAATTATTTAATCCTTGATGTCATTTCAATGAAAATATAATTGGACAAACTTTTCAAACAATTGGGCACAGACAAACACATAAGACCATTTATGAAACCATAATACACTCACATGTATTTGGCCAATTGAATTATAAAGTCTTTCTTATTTTTCTTTGTTTTTGGAACTGAACTGGGGATTGAACTTGGGTTCTTGTGCTTGTAAGGCAGGTGGCAGCACCATTGAGCTAAATAAATCCCCAGCCCTAAAACCTCTTTTAGTGAAGACTAGTCAAAACTTTTGCAGATTAACAGAAATCTCTTGTAGAATTAGAATCAAAAGGAATGAAAGCTCTTTGTTAATGTAAAAGTAAACCTTCTATAACAAACTTGAAACCAACAAGCAAACATACACAAATCATTTCCATACACCTTCTCTACATACTTAGACCTCCTGGTCTTGTATATCTTTATCTCTTTCTAACAAGACAAACATACAAAATCCTTTCATATCAAAAGTATATCTCTTTTACCCATAGCTTTCCTAATATCTTCTTCTGTCTCATTTACTATGAACCTTCTATAACAAACTTCAGATGTTAAAATTTTAAAGTGTTCTTTTTTCTGTCCTCAGATTGTTACATCTTAAAATTTGACTGGCTACCTATACAACAGTATTAACCTTGAGTTTTTATCAACAGAGTACAGGAAAGAGCAAGTTAACCCTATAATTGTAATTCAAGAATTTGCAATGCACAAGAAGGGTTTTAAGCACACCAATTAAACTTAATTCAAATTGAAACAAAGATACATTTATCAAATAGTTAAAATTTCTAACTAACCTCGATCCTGACAACAAACGGTTGCAACCGGCCCAAAGCTTACCTCCGGAGGCTTTTCAAAGGTCTATATCCGAGAATCTCCTGCTGGATCCTGCTACAGAGAAGTCTTGGCTGGATTTACAGTTCCCACCTGGGGATCTTGCTGGGGCCTCCAAAATGTAAGACCTAAAATCTCACTTCCACTCCGGAGCGTGAACAGCCAAAAGGCCTCCACGATGCTGAGTCCTATAGCCCAACAAAGGCTCCGGGCGCAAGACCCAGGGTCTTACTTCTGGGAGCCGTGAACAGCCAAAAGGGCCTCCACAATGCTGGGACCTATAGTTCAGCGATTGCTCCAGGAGCTTGCCAAGCAGCAAGAATCACCCAGGAAGGAACACACGGGACTAATTGGAAAACAGACCGTTATTAGTCTGGCCAGACAGCACTCCCGGAGCCAAATAGCTCCGAGAGGCCCGGAATCCTTTTTCTTAACATATTCCTGGGGCATTTCAAATCAATTCTTTGACTTGCTAGGATTTTGTGAGAAAAGGATTTACTTAGTTTAATTCCCATTACTTTTCATTATCATATGTTCTTCCCCAGTTCTGTGCACTGAACATGACAGACAGCACCTTCTTTGGTCCTCTGATTAAACTCTTCCCATTTCCCTCTTGAGAGGCCCCGTTGCAGTCAGAGCCCATGTGCTCATGGTTCCAGTGTCAACACCTTCCACCTCTCCAGTGGCTCATCAGTCACGCCCCTTTGACCTCTTATATCCAAACCTGCTGTAAAGAAAAAATGAATTCAAAACAAGATCGCAGCAAAGCACCACAAAGGCATTCTAGTTTGGAAAGTTTTTATTTATTTATTTTGTATACAACAATGAACAACGGTGTGTCACCAATCTGTAGTATAATTAACTCCTTGTCTTTTGCTCCTTATGAATTTACATATCCAATTATCTATTTAGTTTCCCATGGTTTTGCTACATTAAAACTCTTTAACAAGAAAGCTTTATAACGTAACGGATTTTGCAGTTCATTTGTAACCAGTCAGTTTTAAAAAGTTGCTTTAGGCTTAGTGAATATTATTGCATAATACTGCAAAATTTCCCTGCCAGATTTTGGAGTGCCTAGTAACTTATTTACCAGGATGATCCATGAAAAAGACTACATGAATTGCCTGCCTATGGTGGTGCAGTCTGTAATCCCAGTTACTTGGGAGGCTGAGGTGGGAGAAGTGTAAGTCCGAGGCCATCCTGGGTAACTAGTAAGACCTTGTCAAGTAAAAGGGGTGGGGATGTAGGTCATTACTCCCTGCGTTCAATCCTCATAAAAGAAACATGCAAGAAAGCATGCAAACTACATGTATAAAAGCACATCATGGCCAGGAGCAGCTGAGAGATGCAGCAAAGTGTATTTATTAGATGGAAACAATGCCGGCTCTAAATAACTGGTGCTGTTCTGCCAAGGGATACTGTACTCATCCATTTGACCACATTTGGGGTCAGGTTAGTGTGGGTGAAACTCAGTTTTGGTCCCACCAGAATCTGCTGTTTTCATTGAAGAATCTGCATTAATTCCCACTTTTTTGTTGAAGCTGATGCGGTTTTGAGGCTGGCAAACGAAAGGGCATTCCGACCCCACAAGAAGCCCAGCCACTGATTGGTCCTAGGACCAGAAAATGCGGATGAACAAAATGGGCTGCAGAGTGACTTTCCACACCACATCTCATGGCCTTGGTTCCAGTCTTCTGGGTGAGATTTTCATAAACAGCCAATTTGTGTGCAAGGGTAACTTCTGTGGTTGACAGGAAGGCAAATTCAAATTCTGAGTTGTATCGTGGATTCTGCTCCCAGCATTAGCAATAACTGACACTTCAGAACTTAACAGCAAATGGCGGCTACCTGGATCTTTGCTAAAATAGGTCTATGTGGCTCAGGTAAGGGAGAGAGGCGCCTGTTTATTTTGGTAAAAGGGAAAGGAGATGGCCTTTGTTTTGTTAACATTTTGGGAGTCATGACCACAATTTGATCTAATCAGATGCAGTTTGTTCAACGAATTATCAAAGATCACACTTGGATATCAAGCTGGGACTGAGGCTGATAGGTAGGCATTGATCATATGCTGCCAGAAAGAATCTAATTTAAGAGCAGAGTTGAGAAATGCACCATTAGAATTTTCGCAAACACTCATGCAGAGATAGTCTAATATCATAATAATTAGAAAATTATTCCAGGCTTTCTGTGTGGCAGTTCTATTGTGAATATAATTTAGGATATGATTTATGCAAAATGATGTAAATTCACAGAACTGCTTGGTCTACACTTACATTTCAACAAAGGGCTGCGTGCTGCTGCTGTTTCTGGCAAAATAAAAAACTGGAAGTGGAAAGTGGACAGGTTGCGAAGGGCACTCATTCCTCCTTCATCAGCTTCATCAGGTCCTCTTCTATTCCCTCCCTCCTTAGCTCATCTAGACTGTAGTACCGATGAGTGATTTTCTCAGCAGTGACAACCACGACACGGAGCCCGTGCGTGTCTTTGCCCAACTGGCACCCAATGGCAGACGACACCACCATGTCCAGGTTCTGGTAGGTGCCCCCAGCATTCCTGTGGTAATGGCCTGAGAACACAGCTCTGACACCTGCAGGGAAGGGAAAAAGACATTAGTGTGGGGGTCATCTAGGCCTCCCACGCTCTCTCTAAGAACAGCAAGGGACTTTGGAAGAGATAAAGGAGAATGAAGAAAGCATCGTGAGGCTGCATAAACAGCTACATGATGGAAGCTACACATGTACAAAAAGTAATGTTTATGGGCACAGCTCGGTGGTAGAGAGCTTGCCCAGCATTTATGAGGCCCTGGGTTCAATCCTGCTATGGTTTGGATTAAAGTGTTCCCCAAAGCCTCACACGCTCATAAGCTGGGGCTTCAGGAAGGTGACTGGACTGTGAGGGCATAGAGCTGACTTGCTCTTAGGACGGAGGGTCTGGTCTGAAGAGGTGGGTCACTGGGCCTGGAAGTGTGTTCCTGAAGGGCCTGTCTCCTTCCCACTCCTGTCTTCATACTTTCTGCTTCTCCTCTGCCATGCCACTCTGCCTTCAAGCCATGTTACTAGGACTGACAGCTCTACCAACTGTGAGCTCACATAAAACTTTTCCTCCTTTACACTGTGGGAGTCAGCTACTGTCTCGGGAAAATACTGCAAATAAATAAAATAAGTCAATAAACAAAGCTTATGGTGTTCTAATTAAGACAGCAGAGTATGTCCACATTTAACGTCTGTCTGCTGCTCCATACCTGGAGCCCTAAGAGATAAAATGTAAGAAAACTAAAGGATGTAAGTACGCCCAACATCAAAATAAATAGGTCTATGGGACAGAAAGAAAAGAGAAAAGTGAAGTTACGAGTGGGATCAAAATATTGCTGGAGTGAAGCCCCTAAAGACTGCAGACTGGCATAGTATTTGCATGTGACCTACACACATCCTCCTGTATCTTGTAAATAATGTTCAGGATACGTATTATACCCAATACTATGCAAATAGCTGTTTTACTGTACTGTTTAGGGGATAATGACGAGAAAAAATTAGTCTGTACACGTTCAGTATAGATGCAATTTTTATTAAAAATATTTTTTCATCTGCTGATGGTTAAGTACAGAAGGCTAAATGTAATTTGATGGAGAATTTCTATGATTTAATTTTTAAAAATAACATCTTTTTAACAATCACTTCATAAAATTTCTTAAAATCTAATAATTATGGGGCTAGGGTGTAGCTCAGTGGTAGAGCATATGCTTAGCATATATGAGGACGCATATGAACATATACAGAATTAACAGTGGTTCTAATGAACTACTGGAAGGTGCCTCTGGTATATCACTGGGCTGGGGCTTGTGACAATCTAGAAGGAAGGACAGACACAGGCTCACACTTAGGATCTCACACACATTTTCCTGAGGTTACTGTGGGGCTCTAAACTACTACTATGAGGCCAAGTCCTCGGACACAAGGATATGGATGGAGGCAACCAAAGGTACTGGGCAGGGAGAAGTTTGTCAAGAGAGAAAGAGTGAGAGAAAAACAAATATGAAATGACTATTTCTCAAATTGTCTGCAATAAAAATTCTATCAATCACCCACAAAGAACTCATACTAACACAGCCCACAAATTCTTCCCTCAGGAACTCACATTTAATCCATGTTACCGTTCAGATATAGAATACCCCCCCAAAAAGTTTTGTATGTGGAGAGGTGGGCATTTTGGAAGGTGACTGAATCATGGGGGTTATATACTCACCACCGGATTAATCCATTCATGAGTTCATGACTAAATGTGCTGTTACGAAGTGGGGCCTGGCTCGAAACATGACTCATAAGGATGCATTCTTGCCCCTGGCTGTCATGTCACTCTGCCTGCTGGCTGCCATGAGGTGAGCAGCTTTCCTTCCCCCGTGCCATTTCTGCCTTAGAGCTAACTGACTACGGAATGCATTCTCTGGAAACCATGAGCCAAAGCAAACCTCACCTCCTTTAAGTTGCAGGTGTTGGATATTTTGTCCTTGAAATGGGAAAGCTGAAATTACACAGAACTGCTTGACAAGTATTTAAAATATAAGAGTCCTTAAATAAAAGATTAGTGTTCACAAAAAGATGTTATGAAACAAAACAGGCATATAATGCATGAGAAGAGACAATGATAATTAGTGCTTATAAAAGATAAACCTGTTAAAATTTAAAATTAAAAACCCCTCAATAAATGGAATAAATTCTAGACTGAACACTAGTTAAAGAAAAAATTGGTAAATTTATAGAAAGAATCAAGAAAATGAATCTAAAGACAACACAGAGACCCAGATACAGGCAATACGAACACACAGTTCAAAGAGCCCAGGGGACAGATGAAGTATCAGCAGATGTTTAAGCAGCGAGAAAAGAAAGAAAAAAACAGCAGTGAAAATAATTTGAAGAGTGAATAATGGAGACTTTTTCAAAAAAGAAAGAAGGTCTTCAGATAAAAAGCACTAAGTAGGAAACAAAACTTATCCCACACTGTTACATAATGAAGTGGTACATCAAAGAGAAAGAGAAAAACCTTCAAAAAGACTGGTAAAAACATTACAAAGGATCCACAATTAGACAGAGAGCAGGCATCCCAGCAAGACAGAATCAGAGTAACACCTTCAAAATCTTGAGGATAAATAACTATGACCCTAAAAGTTTACACCTAAACTGTCATTTAAATTTCAGAGCAAAATACAGACATGTTGCATGCCTGTAATCCCAGCACTCAGGGGGCTGAGGCAGGAGGATCACTGTGAGTTCAAGACCAGTCTGGGCTGTATTTAGAAATATAGAGACTAAGAACACTCCATAATTTTCACTAAAAAGAACTATTAAAAATACATTTAAACAGAAAAGATGAAATATTAAACAAAATCATGGGCTAGGGATTTAGCTCAGTGGTTCCACTGCCTGCCTTGCAAACACAAGGTCCCGAGTTCGATCCCTGGTACAAAACAAAAAACAAAACCAAAAATAAAAAACCCACAATCATGAGCTAACACTGATAAAATATTCTAATAAATTGAATTAACTACTGATTGCTTTTATTATTTTCTATTTTTTGATGTTAAAAGTGAAGCAAACTCTACAATGTCAAGATGGAAAGTTCAATGAAAAATCAAAGTGTATAAAAGTTACTCTCACGTTTGGTAGAAAAAAGTACTAGATTACTGGGTACTTCACTTGAAAAATATGTAATCATCATGTTTATTCAAAATATGCATAGGCAACCAAACTAAAACTAGATAAATTGGACTTAATCAAAATTAAAAAGTTCTGTGTTTCAAAAGACATTATTAAAAAAAGAGAACCAAAGAATAGGAGAAAATATTTGCAAATTGTCTATCTGATAAGCTTCTAATACTCAGACAATCTATAAAAATCCTTAAATACTCAATGCTACGAAGTCAATCCAATTAATAAATAGTGAAGGATCTGAACAGACATTTCTCTAAAGAAGACAAACAAGGGGTCAATAGGTACAGGAAAAGATGTTCAAGATCATTAATCATTAGCGAAATGCAAATCAGCAGCACAACGAGAGGTCACTTCACATCACCAGGATGCTATAATAGAAAAGATGGAAAGTAACTTGTTCACAGGGCTGTGGAGAAATCTGAACCCTCTTCCAGCACTACTGGGAATATAAATGGTACAGCTGTTCTGGAACACACTCTGGCAGTACCTCAGAATGCTAAACACTTAGTTTCCGCTACCCAGACATTTCATACCTCTATATACAGAGTATGGTAAAAAACTACAGTGACTGCCTAAATTAAAAAAAAAATTATTACAGTGCACTAACCCCTCAGAAAATTCCTCCTTACTTCAGACACTGTCCCACCCTTCTCGCCTCTTTCTGAAGCAGCTCCGGAAGTCCTCCTTCGTGAGTGTCTTTAGCTGTGCTGTTGTGGCTGCCTCTGTCTTGAATTGATGCAAAATGTTTTCCTCTCGTGGTCATTCTGACTTTGGGGGAAGAGTCAGAAGTCACCTGGCACCAGTTCAATGAATAAGGTGGATGCGGGCGCACTGCACTGGTCTCACGAGTCTGCCTTTTCGGTGGACAGCACTCAGCGGCGGCACCCACGGTACTCCTGACCACACCTCATAAAGCACATCATGAAATAAAACTTCCACAACTGTCAGAAAGTGGCAAGAATTACAGTGTAAGTGTATTCAAAGTGTGTGTAGTGGGGGTATTTTGAGAGGGACTGATGGCAGTACAGCTTTTACTGTAAGGCAGTTTTATATTTATACACATCGAAGTTGTGATCAGCTCTTATGTACTCAAGAGAAATGAAAACATCTATACAAAAACTTGTACATAAATATTTGTTGCCACAGTATTCAAAATAGCCTAAAAAGTAGAAACAAACTAAATGTTCACCAACTGATGATGGATAAACAAAATGTGATTTATGTATACAACAGAAGGACATTTTAAAAGAATTAAATACTCTTACCTGATCCAGTGTGGATAAACCTTGAAAACACTGCTAAATAAAGGCAGCCAAAAGCCATAAAATACATTATCCCATTTATACAAAATGTCTACATTTAGTAGGTGACTCTATATATAGAGACTGAAAGTAGATTACTACTGCTAGAGTTCGGGCAAATGGGGAATGACTGCTAATGAGTATGAGGTTTATCTGTGAAATGGTAAGAAGGGACCACAATTAGGCAGTGGCAATGGCTGTTCAATCTTGTGAATATAGTAAATGCTCTGAATTTTGTACTTTAAGAGGGTGAATTTTATGGCTTGTGGATTATAGCACAATAAAGATGTAAAAAAATTAATTGTGGGAGGGAGAGGGGCCTGAAATGATTTATGTGTCAATGGATTACAGTTGGCAATATTGGTATAAATTCATGTTTGGTTTATTATCAGTGCAGATGGCTATATACAGGGATATTTACAGATACGATCAGACTAGACCAGCATACAGACACACCCACTTTCTTGCTCTGCCTGACCAGAGCATCTGGAAGCAAGGGCATACTACCCATGAGTGTACCCCAGCTCTCAGATCTTGCTCCTAATAACCACTGTCTAATAACAGGAGCTATTTTTTTTATT